ATAACAACAATAATGATAATAATAATAGTTTTTTTTTTCAATTGTTAAAATTTTTTTTTTTTTCTTTTCTTCGAAAATTTATTTAAAATCTTTTAAAATTTGTTTCTTTTTTTTGGGGGGGGAAGGGGGAGAAAGTTTATCAAAAACCGAAAAAACGATAAGATTTTGAAAAGAAAAATAAAATAAAATAAAAATGGCGGGAAAATTTAAAAAAATTTTTATTTTTTTATTTTATTTGACTAAAAACTCTTTTTTTATTTTTCTTTTCTTTTTTTTTTGGGGGGGGGGGGTTGGAATTCGCATAATGAAATTTGTTTTTTATTTCAGTTTATTATCATTATTATCATCATCATTATTATTATTAATATTATTATCAACGTCAATTATTTACAACTTGAATATTTTTTGAAAAGTACGTGGGTTAGTTGTAATTAATTAAAAAAAAAAAATTTCAAGCCCTCAATTTTGATGCGATGAAATTAAATAAGAAAAAAAAAGCAGAAGAAATATTTGTTGGGAAAAGCAGAAGAAAATAATTTTTTTAAAAGTCTCTCGTACATCCGTTATAAGTTCCTTACAAAAAAAAAAAACGGAAAAAAGAATTTTTTTTTTTTTTGAATTTTTTTGGACATTTTTTTAAAAATAATTTTTCATTCGTTAAACAAACTTACGACAAACACGCATTTTGTTGTTGTGGTTGTTGTGTTTGTTGTAGTTTAAATGATAGGAAATTAAATTATCATAAATTCGATTAAAAATCTTTTTTTTTTTTTTTCGTTAAAATTTCAAACAAAAAAAAATTTTTTTTAAATATAAAATCTTTGTAAATGTTTACCAAAAAGAAAAAAAAAACAGCGAACTACAAATCAATTTTTTTTTTTTCACAATCACTACAAAATCCATTTTGAGTCTAAGTGAAAATGAGCTTTTGGTTAAAGGCAAGCAAAACCTCCTCCCCTTCCCCCCGAAAAAAAAAAAACAAGAAGAAGAAAATGCTTCGAAAATAACTTTAGGGAATTTTCACAATGTCAAATTTTGACAAGGTTGTGAGGTTGATAAAAGCTTTTTTTTTATAAATAAAAAAAAAATCAAAATGACGAAGATGATGAAAAAAAAAAAAAAAAATATATATATATATATATATATATATATATATATATATATATATATAAAGAAAAAAACGTACCAATAAAAAAAGAAAAAAGCAGAAGAAAAAAAAAATTGAAAAGAAAAAGAAGAAAACTCGAAATAAAAATTTTATTTTTTTTCAAATCTAATATTATCAATTATCATTTTTCAACTGATAATAAAACAAAAAAAAGAAATTTTCTTACGTAAACCACACCCCCTACACCTCCTCCTACTCTCCCCACACACACCTCTCTCTAATTATCAAAGAATTACAATAATAATAATAATGATAGTAAGTAATTGTTATCGTTATCAGTTAAATTATTTTAATGGTTGAAAAATTTTATAAAGTCTGACTATTGAAACAAATAATAAATTTCCCCCCCCCTTTTAAAAGTTTAAAAAATAGCAACAGGAACAGAAAGAGCAACAGGAACAACAACAACAACAAACGAGGAAAAAGTTTATTAAAATATAAAGAGATAGAATAAAACCTTTCGTTTCTTTTACAAAAAAAATTTAATATTGTAAGATAAAAGTTTCATTTACCGTTTTTTTTTTTTGTGCTTTTCAACATGAACTCACTTTCATCATCTCCCCTTCCCCTCCCCCGAAAAAAAAGAGAAAAACTTTCATTTGTTTAAACAATTTTTTTGTTTTTAAACAAAAAAAAAAGCGGAGGATAAAATAAAGAAAATAATTATGAGAGATAATTTAATATGAAAAAAAAAAGTTTTTTTTAAAAAAAAAAAAAAAATTTAAAGGAAAATTTCCAGATTATTATCATTATTATTATTATTATTATTATTATTATTATTATTATTATTATTATTATTATTATTATTAATTGTTAGTAAACATTATGATAAGATTTTTAGTTTGTTCCTACCGTTCGTTATGGCGCTTTAATTTAAAAAAAAAAAAAAAGAAAATTTGATATAATTTAAATTGTCGACCACGTGGAAATTAAGTAACCGGAAAGAAAATCTTTGTTTTTTTTTTTTAATACTTTTCTCGCGGCCCCCGCAAAATTAAAAAGAAAAAGATTATCCCCGAAAAAAATTAAAAGGAAAAAAAAATTTTTTAAAGAAATCTTCATCCCGGAAAAACAAAAAAAAAATTATCTTTTTTTTTTAATTATAAATCCGCGGATAAAATATTTTTTTTAAAACGACAATAAAAAAAAAAAACAACGGAAAAATATTTTTTTTCCTTATCTTTTTCTTTTCGGAATTTCAAAAATTATTTTCAACTCCCCTCTCCGCTCCCTCCCCTCTCTTCCCCTCAAGGAAAAAAGAAAAAAAAAAAAATTCGTAACATTTTTTTTGTAAAAAGAGAGGAAAGAGAAAAACGTGACGTAACCAAAGAATCGTATTTTTTTCCCCATATTTCCTAACGAAATTTATCATTTTTTTCCTTTGTCTCTTAAAATTCAGGTATGGTCTTCCCTTTCTTCTCCCCCCTCAAAAAAAAGGGTAAGTAAATCTACAAGGAAAAAAAAAAAAAAATTTATTTTTTTAAACTTCCGGTTACGAAATAAATCAAATCGCCTTACAGAGAAGGCAGATTAACAACCGCAAAAGTAAACCGAAAAAAAAAATTTTTATTTTTATTAATTACGTCATAATAATGACGTCATAAAATCACCATTTTAAACAATTGAACGAATATTTAAATATTACAATCGTCAATAAAAGAAAAAATTATTATTATTAACGATGAAATCGAGAAAATTTTATCAATTCGAAACTAACTTTAAATAATTAAATAATTATTTACTTTGTTTCGTACAAATAATTTAACAAACAACAAACGAATGAACAAAGGAAGAAACAAACAAACAAACAAACGAAAAATTTTATTAAAAAAAAAAAAAAAAGTTTAATAACAAATTACAAAATACAAATTACCTTTTAATAAGTTAAAATTTTTCTTTTTTTTTTATTAACCGCATTGTTAAAAACTTCTTTTTTTTCGTTTCAAAGGAATAAAAAAAAACAAAAACAAAAATTTAATTAAAATCTTCTGCTTTTTTTTTTCTTCTGCTATTTTTTTTTCTAAGAAATTTGATTACGTCACGTTTCATACGTTTTATGAATGAAAATATTTAAAACGGATTGTTTAAAATGGTTTACGTTTTTTTTTTTTCTTTCAAAAATTATTAATGGAAAATTTTTTTCTAAACTAATAGACGGAGATAGAGATAGTGAGATAGATAGATAGATAAATAGATAGATAAAGAAAGAGAGAGAGAATTAAAAAAAAAAGATTTTGACCGATGATTAAAAAAACCGACTGAAATTTTTTTCTTTACTATTTCAGCTACGAAAATGATTCCTTATATTCCCGTCGTTTGTTATTAATCCTACGGGAACATTATGATAATAAAATTTCTTTTTTTTTTTTTTTTTTTTGTAAAAAAGGAAAAATCTGGAAATGACACCCGCGTTTTATACAACAAACGAAACTTTATCAATTTTTTTTTTTTATAACAAATAAAAAAAAAACTTTTATAAAGTTTTCACATTTGCAAAAAAAGAAAAAGATTTTTAATCACTTTTTTTTCACATTCATTTTATATTATTATTATTATTATTATTATTATTAATATTAAATACGAGGAAGAAAAGAGAGAAAATGAAAATTTTTTTTAAAAAGTTTTTGTTAAAAATGATGATGATTTTTCGACTTTTCTCAAATTTTCATTTCCTTTGAAAAAAAAAATAAAATAAAATAAAATTTTTCCCTCCATTTTGTTTAAAAAAACGTTTTTAACATCATGGTTGGACCAAAAAAATTTTTTAAATTGAAATTTTGATGAAATTCGTTCGAGTTTAACAGTAAAAACAATTTCCGTTTTCAAATCTCGGTTTTACGGAGGAGGGAGGGGAAGGAAAGGAAAGGGGAGGAAGGGGGGGGCCGGAAGAGCGAGCGAACGGGCATCATTACGTAGTCAAATCATGTTTGGCTAAAATAAAAAAAAAAAGGGAAAACTTTAACCGAAAATCACTTTTACTCCTTTTTTAAATTATTTTTAACTTTATATAACATTTTATCTATGTACATAAAATGTTATCAAATTTAAATTTTATATTTTTTTTATATAAATAAATAAATTATTAACAAATAAATTCGGCGGTTGCGTTTGAATTTAAAAAAAAAACATCAACAAATTAAAATTTTCCTTTTCCTTTTATCTCCATCCTAATGGATGGAAAGAAAAAAAAATTTTCCAACAATAATAATAATATAATCGATTTTTAAACAAAAAAAAAAAAAAAAACCTAAAAACTTAAAACTTAAAAAGGAAAATAAATTATTGCTGTCAATCAAAGGCTAACAAAAGCTACAAAACTTTTTCCCTTTTTCCTTTTTTTTTGTTTTTAAAATGAACGCGATCCCCCTCCCATTCCCTCACCCTATCTCTCTCTCTCTATTAATTTTTAAAAAGCAAAAAACCGTAAAAGCACCAAAAAGGGGGGGAAAGAAAGAAAGAAAGAAAGAAAAAAAAAATAATAATAATTTTTCATTTTACACTAAAAGAAAAATTTCAAGTGAAAAAAAAAAAAAAAACGGTAAAAACGGAAGTCCAAACATTAAAAAATTTTAACACTACGAATCGATCTATCGATCTATCTATCAATCAACTATCGATCGATTTCATATCGATGCTAATGAAACAAACGTTTTATCTCAATTTTTTTATTTTTATTTGCTATTTATTTTTTACGTAAAGTACATGAGCCAAAAAAAAAATAGAAAAAAATACCTATTTTGAATACTTTCACACTCGTTCGTCCTTCCCTCCGTCCGTCCGTCCGCCATTTTTAATTTGTCTAAATACTTTTTTTTCCCCCCTTTTTTTCTATTTAATTCGTCGTTTTTCTATCCCATTGTTTCCAATAAGAATCCGTTTGCATTTCAGATAATCTAGACACGGTTCTTTCAAATGCAAATAATTCTTCGGATCCGGTAAAAATATTTGCCGAAGCATTTTCCTATTTTTTTATAAAAAAAGAAAAATAAATTTGACTTGTATTTAACATTTCAATTAAAATAATTAAAACGTTTTATAATAATTAGGCCCCAAAAATAAAAAACCATTTCCGGTTTACTATCTACTAATTCAATTAAAAAATCTTGCGAATTTCTTTCTTTTTAAGATTAATAATCCGTTATTTTATTTATTTATTTTGTTTTTGTTTATGTAAATAAATTAATATTCGTTATAGAAATAAAATTGATTTAGAAAAAAAAAAAAAAAAGTTTCGAATACTTACCGATCCGGTAGAAATTTTCAAATCGTCCATTAATATTCTGTGACTGTCGTCGGAGAGTAAATTCGTTTCGGATGCGGAAAATAAAAATTGAGGTTTATCTTCTGCTGATATAACAACCCGATTCTGTAATGTACAAACAAACAAACAAACAAAATTAAATGCGGTTTTATTATGCATTTTAATAATAATAATAATAATAATAATAATGTTGTCAAGGCAAACACGATTTCGCGAATGTAAAACCGGCTGAACTTTTATTTATTTAGTTTTTTTTTGCAAAAACATTCACACGAATGGAATCTCAATTTATTTATTTATTCGTTTGTGTAATGTAATTTATTTTTAATTTTTTTTTTAAATTTAATTTAATAATAATAATAAAATTTATAACGCGAAACGATGTTAGTATAAAATAAGTGAAAGTTTAATATCCGTGGAATTAATTTTTTTTTTTTTTTTTTTTTTTTTAATTCATTTCTGGAAAGTAATGGAGAAAAAAAAACAGTTGCCAAGTGTGTTTAATTATTATTATTATTATTATTATTATTATTATCGTTAATCGTTAGTTTTTTTTCTTCTTTTTTTTTTTAAATTTTTACTCACTCTGTTACCGTATAATATATCTATAAGACAAATAAATCTTCTCGCTTGATTCCGATACGTTAAATTCATTTTGGGTACGTTTCTTATTAGTATTGTGTGAAATATTTGTGAAATGTAAATGTAATCTGCTGGACCCAGTGCCTGAAATCATTTTTTTTTTTTTTTTTGATCTTTTAGACAAAGTCAAAAAGAACCGTAAGTTTTTTTTTTTTTTTTTTTTTTTTTTCTATTTCATAATAAATTAATGAGTTTACCGTGTCGCAAAGTTCGGAAAATGACGCATCAAGTACTTGTCCGCAGGCTTGAGATAAATTAATAACGCGACCCATGATTACCAAACGCCTCGGTTTAACCGTGTCGTTTTCATTTGCGCATAATATTTTAAATATTTTATTCATTTCTTCGTCTGCGTTTGTTTTACCAATACTGAAACATAAAATAAACATATATATTATTATATTTTTAATTAAATTCATTATTTTTTTTATTTAAATCTTACACGAAATAACGTTTGTCTCTTCCGGCATCTCCACCCTCTTTCGTTCTGTAATCAATACCCGAATCTAACGTTATGACCGTGCAATGAGATTTAAGTATGGAAATAAATGGTACGAAATTTGCTCTTTGCAAACCGTTTTTGTACAAATCGTCCGGTGATCTGTTTGACGTTGCGACCATAACGACGCCTCTATCGAATAATTCCGTGAATAAACGTTTGAGAATCATAGCATCTCCTATGTCGGTAACCTAAAATGAAAGTGTCAGTTAATAGATAACCGCCTCATACTTTAATTTGATTATAAAATAATTTCATTACCATGAGAAATATACAAAAAAAAAAAAAGATTAAATGACATTTTTAAATGTCAAGGTCTAGTTCAATCATTAAAATTGGGTAATAGTAAATATAATCTTCAATCATTACACTAATAAGTTTCTATTATTATTATTATTATTATTTACAATTTTATTTTATTTATTTTTCTCAATTATTAATGAATTAAACTTTTTTCAAAATTAAACATTGTGTTGTCGACTACTATCTGTTCAGGGCACACCCAGAGAAAACCTTAAACGAAAAAAAAAAAAAAGACATTTTTGTTTATTAAAAATGATTTCTTTACATAAAAAAGATAATTAACCCTGAGTGAACCCATTCCAGATAATAATTTTATTACATTAATATATTTTCAAATAATATTTTTCATTAATTAGAACAAGTGATTCCAAATTTTAGTCTTTTTAGTTACTTTTTTTTTTATCGTCTATTGCAAATATGATATCTTTTTTTTTTTTTTTTTTTTTTTTTTTTTCATTATCAATGATAAAATAAAAGAAAATGTATAAATTAATGGTAAAATTAAAATGAAAAAAAAAAATGTTGTTTGAATGAAATGATTTCACATTTTAAATTTACATTCATTAAAAATACAACGACATGGTCAATTATAAAAAGTAATTTAATGTAAAAAAAAAAAAAAAAAAATAATTATTCGAGCAATTAATTAATTCATTGAATTATTCCTAATTACCTGAAATTCATCAAAGCAAAGTAGCCATGCTTCAGTGGATAACTCTTGTGCAACTGGTGCAATCGGATCCCAAGGTTTTAATTTTTTATTATTTCCAACAATTTCTTTTCTATTTTTTTTAGCCAAATGTATTCTTGCATGAACATCTTGCATGAATTCATTGAAATGAGCTCTTCTCTTAAATTTTGTCTGAAAAAATTAGTATTAATAAATTTGTATAACAATAGAAAGGTTGGTTTCATGTTTTTTTAAATTTTAGAATACTGAAATATTATACCTCACAAGTTTCATAAAAAAGATCCATTAACATTGTCTTCCCTCCACCCACTGAACCATACACATAAAGGCCTTTAGGTGTTTGAGATTTAAAAAAAAATTTTGCTAAATTTGATTTTGGTGTGTAAGAGACTATATCATCATAGACAAATTGCAAATGTTTAACTACTTTAAGCTGATAGTCATCTTGATTCAATACTCCTGATTTGATTTTCTCCTGAAAAACTTGGGTTGGACCAGAGGAAATCCAATTTTGTAGAGTAGGATGAACATGACGATAATAATTTAATATTTTGCTCTTTTGATAAAGAGTCTTTGTAAAGTAAATTGGACCAGCCATTTAATTTAAAAAAACTAATTAAGCTCATTTTAAAAACCTGAAATATTAAAATGGTAATTTATAATTATATTTTTTTCCGTCCTTGGTTTTTTCTTAAATGGCACATTGTATTTTGGTATTAACATTACACTAAATTACCAAGTTTAAACTTTTTTATATTTAATTTACTTGCATTTTAAGTACAGTAAATTTTACATAAGATACTAAAATTTTAATGTCAAAAATAACCTTCAAAAAATATCCGTTAATATGACATTAAGAATACAATAAAAAATAAAAAAAAATGAAAATAATTTATAATAATTTTAATAAAACTGTCTTACTAATAATAATTAAATACAAATTTTTGCTATCATTTCCAATTAAATGATATAAATAAATTTTTAATACTGATAAGTTTTTTACAACACAACAGCAGAAGAACTTTAAATGAAATTAGTTGGAGAAAAACAACAGTAGCGCTAAAGTCGTTTAAAATTATTAAGGACCATTTAATGTTTTTGCGGTCGTTCAATTTTGCTCTGTTTTGTAAAGATTTTAAGAAAAAAATAATGATAATATAAATTGTTATTTAATTTAAAAAAATTAATAAATTGTTTGTGTTTAAACATGCATGATAAAATTTACAAATGTTTGAAAAATGTCACAACCGGAAATTATTCAACAAGTTAATTTGGCAACCTACGATTGGCAGCCATGTTTCCAATTTCTGGTAGTTGTTGGAATTTTACATTTTGCTTTAGTTCTTCTTCTTTTTGGTTATTATTTTTTTTTTTTTTTTTTTTAAGAAAAAGTTATAATTTAATTAATAATTTCTGATACTTACTAATGCTACGATTTATAAATTTTAAGTATTTCTTACTCGATTTTTTGTTGGAGTTAAAATAATTAAAGGTAAATAAAAAAAGAAAAAATAAAAACGACTAAAAAAAAAAAAATACCTTTTTAAATTTAAACTCATCAAAATAAGTTTTAATAAAATAAATTTTTATTTTTTATTTTTTTTTTTTTTAAAAGGTGGTCGAGATGAATAAAAACTTTAAAAATA